TAATGTGCTGTTTGATGATAGGCAATTTCGATTAAGTAAGGGTATTCGGAAGCAATGTTCCTCTGTCGAAGATCGGCCGGTCAATGTGAGCTACGAAATAAAGAAATTCTAGTTCACAATCAAATCGTTCGATTTTTGCGGCAGACGTTCGACGCACGTCTTTCATGCATCTCACAAGGTTGTACGGAAAATCACCTATTGTTGTCTACCGTCATCGCGTCTACTGCTCTCCGACTTATGTGATGGTATAAGCGGCGGACGCGATAACGAGAGAGAATGGAAGACTGAGGGACAAATAAAATTTCCGCGACTCTCTTGCTCGCATCGAGATTCCGGTTCCCATTTGTGAATGAAGTCTATTTTAAATGTTTCTCGTCAGTGTTGTATTACGTACGTATGTAAAACACCTGGGGATCAATATCCCGTCTACTTGATAAGTGTAAAACCAAACCGAGTGGCATTGTAGTCAACCAATTAGCAGCATTGCGATACCAGACAAAACTTAAAAAATGCTTTTATAGATCCACGTGACGTATTCGACTAACGTACTAACGAGGTCGTTATAATTACTATTTTTGCCACAATCGTCAAATTGGCGGTTTTGTTTGAAATGCACTTGTGAATAGGAGTGTGTTAATTTCTAATCTCAAGACACGATCGTACGATTGGATCCGATGGGATTTGAAGTAATCCTACGAAATGCGCCACGCGTATCGTGAGTAAGTAAGGTGCTCATATACGTATTGATAAGAATTATCACAATAATTGGATATGATTTGTCATCAATCTCACTCAGGCGCATGTAATATCCTTCATCAAACGTGAAACCTAGTTTGCATGTATCACATTTATATAGCTGAAAAAAAACATCGAATCGTGATTGGCTAATTATACAGTCTCGTGTTTTTTTTTCCAATAATGAAAACATTTTATTTTTTATAATTGATTTATCATAGCCGAATCCAATCAGACAAATGTTATGCTTACAGCAACGTGTTAGTGTTGACTCCATGTCACTGTTACCAGCTAGCTTGATCACGGAGGTAATCCTAGCCATGTTATAGCTGAATATCACTCATTCATAATTGGTTAAATTATGCAAAAAGAATATATTGTGTCACAATGGCTTGTTGTATAATTCAACTTTAAAGATGTAATATGCACAACAACCTGTAATGTTAATACTGATGTTGATGAATACATTGAATTATAATTTATCATAAACTAAAGATTGGGGTATTTGTTCAATGAAACATGAAACACATGCGTAGTAATGTTTTTGGTTTTTTTTCATTTTTCAACGAACGAATATAAAATATAGTTTGCTCCACTTACGAAAAATCATAACCCATTTTGTCCTCAACATGCCGTTTCTCTAACACCGATATTAAACAAATAAATATATACGTCCATATTGCATATTTAACCTGCGATGTTTAGTGCTTAATTATGCATATTAACACATCAGGAGACGACGTCAAAAGATCAATGTCGGATAAAAAAAACTTATTTGCTTTAGTTTGGGGGTGGGGTTGACCTCAACAAGTTTCCATCCTACAAAAACGATTTTATTTGTTAATGAAGTCAAAAATCTTGGAGTATTTGTAGTTCGTTTTTTTTTTTTTCTATCCAATCACCGACAAAAATAACAAAAAATGGTAAAAAGCATCCAAGACGAGAAAATGGTTTGGTCCGAGTGTAAATATGTGCGTCAAACAAACTGCTATGCCATACTACTGTCCGATTATCAATTTGTATTTAATGGGGAATGTAGTCTGACGCCATGATCAATATTTATCAATTAAGTTTTAGTGGGGGGGGGGGGAGAAACTAAAGGAATTAAGTTTTTATCCTACATTGAACATTTGATGCTATCCCTAAAGTAAATACAGAAGGTTGCTATTTACTAAAACATATTTGACGATACAACACTCGTTGCGCATCCCCTCGTTGAGCGTACACCAAGTAAACGCCCGTTTATCCACGATTAATTCATCAGAAACGATCTAATAATTGTTTACACACATATAAACTAAAACTCAGCACGACGCTATTTCTTTAATACACACTATAGTTACTTAAAATTGAATGATATGTTCGGAGATATATTAAATAACAAGCATGGTGATTGGTTGCTATTTTTAGAACGTGTTTAAGCACATTGTATAGATCGGTGATTCTGCTCAGTTATTGACCGAAAAGATATTTATTATTTACTTAGTGTATACAAATACAATAAGTTAGGTCGACCCTCCTGTAATTGTCCACTTCAGCGTTCCCAGTGTCAGATAACGAGATATTTTGATTATTATTATTTACGTGCGTATACCAGGAGTTTGGTATAGTTACTTGAAAGATTGTTTAGGTATCACCTGTTAGGGGCTGTC